ATAATAGTAATAATAATAATAATAATGACTAAACATTTACAATTTCACTAGTTTGTTTTTATTTTAATTTTTTTTTGTTTTTTTTTGTGTTTTTAAATCATAGTTTTATGCAAATTGCATATATATATACATATATATATATACATTTATATATATGCATATATATATACATTTATATATATATATAATTATACTTCTTTTTTTCTATTTATGTTAATTAAAATTAAAAATAAGAAATAAAAATAGGAAAAACAAATTTTTTTAATGTTTTAGTATAATGCTTATCTTGGATAATATTCAAAAACGAATTAATTGAATTTATATTTATATATATATATATATACATACATATGCATATATCGCGGATCAGTTAAATTTTAAATACATATTTATGAATGTCTATAAAAAGGAAAAATGAAATTATATATGTATATATAAAAACATATTTGACTGCAATCATAATTAACTTAATAAATAAAACAAAAATCATAACTGTTATATAATATTAATACGCTATTTTTTATATTAATAAACGTTATATTAATAGCGTATGTATATATATGTTATTTACATTAAATGTCATCATTCATTGAATATCAGTTCCTGTATATCAATTGTTATGTTGTTGCATAGTCAATTTAAGTTTTATGAGAATAATATTGAAAGAGAATAATAACTTTCTCCCGAATGTGACATATATAACGACATCAAAATGTATAATTCAATTTTACAATACAAATATAAATAATATTAATTTTTAATTAATAATAATTGTTGATTATTTAATTTCGACTGAATAATAAATAAATATGATTAGTTTTTGAAAATTATTCAAGATATTCACTTTTATAATGTACATATATGTATATATATATTTTTAATTATGAATATAAATATAAATATATATATATATATTTTTTCAAATATAAAGAGTTATAAATTTAATGTTTAATAGATTGTGATATTGATTTGTTTTGGAGAGTTGATAGAGTTTAGCTATTATTTGATATTATTATGTTATTGGAATTGTATCTTGTGTTTATTTGTTAAATAATATTCAAATATTTTATATAATAATTTATTTTATTTAATTGATGTAAAAATTAGTTGTATGTAAGAAAGAATTTTCTATATATTATTTTTTTTTAATTCTAATAGGTTCTATTAAAAATTTTTTTTATTAAAAATAATGAATTGCAAAAAAAAGAGAAATAAAATATAACAATATTTTTACAATAACAGGTAGATAATAAGAAAATTTTATTTATTTTATTTAAAAATTTTATTTAAAAGTTTAATTGATTTTTCTATTAAACATTATTTTATTTCTCAAATATATTCTCTAAAATTTACCATATTGTTTGTTATGTATGTAATGATTGTATTATGTAAACGTATTTTTTGTATTATACAGAACGAAATTTTTATATTTTTTTCATATACATATATATATATAATAAATTTATATATTTACATATATATATATATTAATTTATTTCTTAAATGTATTTTTTTTTTAATTTTCAATATTTCATTTATTTGTTTTATTTTTTTTTTGTTTTTAATAATATAATTTTAGTAATATACATGTATATAATTTGTATATATAATAATTTACATAAATATTTTGTATTTTAATGACACCGTATTTGATACAAAGATATGCAAAATATTTTTTTATTTAATTATTATTTATTTTTAGTTTGTTTATTGTATATAATGTACTATATATAGTTGTTATATAGAATTTAATTTTGTTTTTATTTCAGAATTACATTCATTTTTTTTTTGTGTTTTTTACTTTTTGTATTTTCTCAGATTTGTATAGAGAAAAATTAATTTAAATAATTTTTTTTTTATTATATTTAATTTAAGCTATTTACATTGCCTCTATAGCATATACATAATAATTAATTGTCAGCTAAAATGGTATAAATTTTCTTTTATTTTTGTCTCTTCTTTTCTTTCTTGTTATTTGAATTTTTTAAATTTCACTTTGATTTTTTGTTTTTTTTTGTTATGACAATATTGTTTAATAGAAAAATTTTTTAATTACATTTTTATAATGAATTTTTTTTTGTTTTTTGATGATTCATTAATGTAAATATGTAGATATTTTGAGTTTAAATAATTTTAAACTCAAAGTTTAAGGTAGCGATAAGATTTAATTTAATGATTGTTGAAAACATAGTATATAATAATTATGTTATATGTATGTATTTAAAACAACAAAGTTTTCTTTTATTCGATTCAAGTTTGCAGCTTTAAAAACTGGCAATACTATTATAGGTATAAGGTAAAAATGACATATACCCACAATATTGTAGTGTGTTATTAATGAAAAATTATTAAAATTTTATTTTCATTAGCAAAATGGTACTAATAACTCAAATGTATTAGAATTCAATTATAGTTGAAATTAATTGTAAAATATTCAAGAATAATATTCAAGTACAATTGGTGTAATTTTTGTGCTTTAAAAATTTTTACTTCTCGTGTGATCGAATTTAAATTAAATAATATTTTTAGTAGTCTATAAAATGAATTCTCTTGAACTCTATTTCTAAAATTGAATATTCTTGAGAAATTGAAGGGAGAAAAATTAATTTTTAAAGCACAAAAATTACACCAATTGTACTTGAATATTATACTTGAATATTTTATAAATAATTTCAATTAATATTATTAATAATATTTAATTAAATACTAAATTAAAAAATGTGTTGTATTTTAAATTTCAATTAACATTTACATATTTATTTTGGTGCCAATGTTATTCTATATAACATAAATACTAAAATTGTTGATAACAAAATTCGAATATTAATTTATTATTTATTTTATTATTTTTCAGGTTATTAATTAAAATTTCAATAATATATATTGAAATCTTGTAAAGTAAACAATATATTGATTTATATATTTGGAGAAATATTTGATAGCACCAATAATGGACAATGAAAATAAAATTTTAATATTTTTTATTTTTTTTTATTTAATGTTGTTTTTATTTCTTCCTAATAATTTCAATGTTAAGAAAATTACCAAAAACATTTTCCATACATATACTATTTTTTATTTGTTTTTTTGTTTTTGCATTATTTTATTTTTCTAAAATTTTTTGTTTAGTTAATTATATAGTTAGTCATTTAAATTTTCTGTACTGCTAAAAAATAAAATGAAGCCACTTTTTGAAAGGCGGACTTTTATTTTTTTTTTAATTAATAATTTTGTCATTAATTACATAATTATACGATTTAATGCATATTAATTAATATATATTAATTCATAATTGAGTTATTATAGTTATATATCTAAGTACCTTTCATTTGAAAATTGAAATATTCATTACAAGTTTAATATATTTTTAATAATGTATAAAAAGTTTTTGCCTTCTATTTATTATGTATGTATAAAAATAAATAATAAAATATTATAAAATTCATTTAGGAATTAAAAAATTTTAAAGAATGAAATAAATTCATTTAAGAAATTTACAAGTATAAATTGTGTTGAATAAATAAAATTCAAAAAATTGCAATTAAATTAACAAAATTATAGATATTTAACGTGTAGAAAATTGATTGGCTAACATTTTTATACATTATAAAATTGAAATAAAAGCATATTATATTTTGTTAAAGTGATTTTTTTTCTCATATTTTCTGTTCTTACATTCAATTTATTTTTTTTATTGTCTACTATAATATATAGTATATTTCAAGTTTTGTTTTTTTTTTTCATCTTTGAATAGTCCTTTCTTTTAAAAATTTCCAAGAATTTAATGTATATAAATAGTTTTTGTTAAATTTATTATTTTATTTTTTTCATATAATATTTTTTGGAATTTCAATAGAAATTATCACTAATTTTGGTAAATATTAGAATTAGTATTTCAATTAATTTAAAACAAGCTATAAATAAAATTTAATATAAAAGAATATTTTTATTTACATATTTCAGGTTTGAGATTATTGTATTTAATAAATTATTGAAATTAGTGAAATAATGCATAATACATAAACAATTTGAAATCAAAATTCATATAGTTATCTTTAATAAATCTGAATGAGGAGTTAAAACATTAAATTAAAATAATTTTATATGCAATTTTTCAATAATCCTAGATCTGATTAAGAAACATATGAAAAAATTTAGATTGTTGTAATGTTTATAGCCTTGAGGAAGCTTTATACAGAATATCATACACGAAATATTGGAAATTTTTATAAATAATACTATTAATAATATTATTAATAAATATTCTTTTTATATAAAAGTTCATTAAGAAAGGTATTACATAGTTGCAAAAAATTGAATTTATTAGCAATAAATTTCCCAAAATTAGTGAAAAATTTCCAGTCTCGTCATAATTATTGTTATGTAAATATATATATATATATATATATATATATATAATTTAAATTTTGCATATTTCGTTGAATGCTTATTAATTACTCGAATTACAGTTATAATTATTTTAATTTCATAAACATTCACTTTTTTTTTATTAATTTTTATTAAATTTTTTTTCTTTTTCTTTAATTTTAATTAATTAATTTAATACACAATATTATTTTACACGCACTGTTTTTTTTTTAATACAATAAATAATTGATTTAGCATATTTTTTTTTTTTGTTTTTAAATTTTATACACATATTGAAATATTTAAATTTAAATATAATAACACTAAAAAAATTAAATGAAAATTTGAAAATTAAAGGGAAATTATAATTAAAAAAAAATCCTATTTATTGATTAAAAAATTTGTTAGCAAAAAAATATTTTAATGTGTTTTTGTTTAGGAAATTTTTTTCAAGTTTTATTTTTTTTTCAATTCAGAAATTAATTCTCACTTTTAAAAAATTAAATATAATATGAATTTGAATGATTTATGGAAACAATATCTTGAAATATTACTTTTGATATCCTTATGTTTATACAGTAACTAAAAAATTTAATGTATATTTGATATGCTCATAAAAAATAATTGAAGATAATTACTATATGCACTTACACATGTTGCACAAGGGCATATAAAAATTTAAAGAAACTTAATTTCCATATTAAAATTGTATGAGTTTTTCATAAATTGTACAAAGGAGTGAAAAAGGCTTTACAGGAAGATGAGCTATTAAATTTTAAAATTTATGAATGGAATTCTTTTCACATTTCAAGGAAAAACCAAATATAACTATAATTTTCTTTTAATTTTATTATTTTCTGAAAACAAAATACCTGATTTATAATGCGATTAAAATTAGTCACAATAGTTATTTTTATAAAAATTACTTTTGTCAAAAAATAAAATAAAAATAATCTTTAATATATTATAATTTAAATGCACCATAATTTCTTATTATAATATAATATCTTTGAATTTCTGAAATTTCACTTGTCACTATTACATTTTCCCATTACGTAATATTATACGTAATATTATATTCCCATTACGTATAATATGTGAATATAAGTAAAGTATATTTAAGTACTCATAGATTGAAAGTACTTATATAGCGAAAAAGTACTTTCCAAAATTGAAGTATAAAATAATTTGCTCTAGAATAGAAACAAAATCATTCAAATTCAAAAAAAAAAATCTTTCTATATTTAGAAATTTTCTTCCAAATTTATTAAAAATTAATTAAAATATGTAATTAATTTTCCATTTTATCAATGAAAATACAAAGCCCTAATTATTTCAGTTATACTTTTATGGTTTAATGATTGAACTCTTTGTTTGGTTTTTAATGGTAAGGGATGAAAAAGAAAGCGATTGGACACGTAAAAAACTATCAACATATTTTTTTTTTTTAATTTTTTTTTCCTTCAATTCGTTTTGAAATTATTTGATATATATATATTAGTGATATTGTTATATATATGAAATATTATACACCTACATTTTTTTTCTTTTTTTTTTTTGTTTATATATTTATAAATGTTTTCCAATGGTTTAAATTTTACATGCAATTTATTTAATTAACTTTTAAAATATTATTTTCAAATATTTTTTTTTTACATGAAAAATAAAAAAAAAATTTGTTTCTTTTAATTTTTATAGGTATTTATAATTTATTATTTACTAATGTTAATTTTTATTATATGATTTTCTTTTCTTTTTTTTAATTATTTTCAGTTGTTTAGTTTGTTTTTTAATTATTTAAAATGATTTTAATATATTTATATATATATATATATATTTTTGTTATATAATTATATTTGTTTTTTTTTCTTTATGTATAATAATATAATAATTTTTTTTTTGTTATAATTTAAATTATTTTTAACAATTACAATTAGCATTAGGCGCTCCTTGAGGTGTATCTTGTAATCGTTGACCTTTTGGTCCGCCACCGACTAATGTTGGATCAGAATCTAAACTTTCTGACATTTTGTCGCATATTATATCGACAAGTCGTTCAAATACAGCCTAAAAAATATATAGAAAATGTTAATTTTTTTTGCCTTCCCTTTTTGTTATAATAAATAAAATAATAAAAAATAATTATGTATACCTTAACATTGATATTTTCTTTAGCTGATGTTTCAAAGAATTCAACACCTAATTGATCTGCTAATTGTTTACCACGTTCAAATGAAATGACACGTTCATCTTCCATATCGCATTTATTACCAACAAGTATTACTTGTGCATTATCCCAGGAATATGTTTTAATTTGAGTTACCCTAAAAAATAATTTTTATATTTATAATATAGTATGTTATTTATTTTGTAATACACCACATACATATAAATACATATAATATATAAAAACTTACCAATCTTGAACAGAATTAAAACTTTCTTCATTTGTAATATCGTACATTAAAATAAATCCCATAGCACCTCTATAATAAGCTGTTGTTATAGTTCTATATCGTTCTTGACCAGCTGTATCCTGCATATATAAAACAAATTATGTAAAGTATATAAAATAATTTCACTAACAATTGTATATATAATGGATTATGTATAAGTAAAAATTTATTTGAAACTATTGAAAAGAATATCGAAATGTACTTTGTTGGAAAAATGATTTTATGCAAAAAATGTAATGGTATTCATTTATAAGAAGATTTACAAGATTCTTCAAGAAAGCCGGGTGGCATAGATAGAAATCTGGGTGGTTTGGATTAGATAAATAGGGTGGTTTAGAATCAAGCGCACAAAGGTGGTCTGGCGATTATGGGGCAGTAAAACAGCACTTCTGAAGTGTGGTGGACCTGTTGCACCGGTCACTTCAACCAACTAACCAACTGTTAAATAGGATTTCATTACATTATTTTTAAATGCAGACGTAAGAGCAATAATATTTTGGTAATATATTATAGTAAATACCTTCATGTATTTATGGAATCGATTTTCAGTTTAAATATACAAAATTTTTAATCCAAAGAAAAAGTAAAAAAATTTTTCCATTCCCATAATGAATTTTTTATTTCTTTCATGATCAAATTATTGCACAATTCCTTAAATTACTTATAAAATTTTCTCCTAAGTGTTTATTGAGAAAATCCGGTATATTCGTTGTAATCGTTATAAATAATCTACCAAAATATCTTAATTCAGGTATGTTTTTATAGAAATACTTTTATACGAATATCTATATATATACAAGATTGTACACTTTTTAACGTTTTTGACTTCCTATAATAAGCTCTACATGTTCTTTATTAGATTAAATATGTATGTTTGTACATGTATATTATGTAATTACATTGAAATAAATCAAGATAATTTGGGATTTGGGATTTCAGTAAGATTTTTATGAAAAATTAACGAAAACAATTTTTACAAATGAAAAAATTCTTTTGAAAATTATAATTTGCCAATAAATTAAAATTTGTTAAGTGAAAGATTTAGCATTCAACAGTTGAGTATTTTTGAATTAAAATCGATTTTAATGTGATCTCACATTTGCTGCATTTACTGCATTTTATAATTTTAATTTTTATCTTTATAATTTAAAATTTTTATAAAATTTTTGTCCTTTTTTCTACATATGATATGTTAAATGTAGGATAACATTATTGCGTGGTAAAAATAAAACTTTATTATAGTCATTGAATAACTCTTTATTATATTACTTTTACGTATGGGGGCGTAACGACTATAATATTTTATGTTATTTCCCGTCATTTATTCATTTTAAATACGCATTTAATATATTGTGTCGCCACCGTTTACTTATACATATTAAATAAAAACTATATAAGAAAAAAAGAAATGTGACATGTTATTATAAAGTTAAATCCTTTATCCTTGAAAGCTATTAATAATTGAAAATATAGAACTATTTACAATTATAGAAATTAATGAAATTTAATATTGCAGAATTTTTCTTTGTTTCAGCAAATGTTTTAAAATTAAAATTGTTTATAGTATTGCACAAAAAAGAAAAAATGCAAAATTTTATTGTACTCGTATAACATGAAGAAAATTAATGATTTTTTTAAAAAAATTTTGAATAACTTTTTAATTTGAGAAATATTCTAACTACATGACAAACGAAGACAAATGGTGCAGTAAGGAGAATTCATACTTTTTCAGTAATAACCTGCACTTACTATGTTCGACATTACTATGTCCGATAACCAATTAAATTTTGGTGCTTACAGCTTACTTTTACGAGTACACGGTGTATTAACTAAATGATTCACATGATTCTAAAATATCAACCTATTTCATGATATTGCAATAAAAATTTTGATGTATGTTTCATATTAATAGAATGGGACGACGTTTAATACATTTATAAATCTTCACATTTGAAGCGTTGCAAAAAAAAAATCTGTCATGTGTCACAACATCTCAGAAATTTTAAAGGGAATTTAGTTTTTTCTTTCAATCTTCGCCATTTTAAAAGAAATTCGGGCAAAGAGTCATGAAACAATAGGCAGTAAAAATATTTGTTTTCGAACCACTTAACATTTATTAAAGTTTTACATATTTGTGATTATACAGGGTAGTTCAGAAAGGTATGCAACAATCATATAGCTATGGTCAAAAAATCAAAAATTATTAAAACTTTTATTCTCGAGTAGGGGCCAAATCTTAACAGTTTCGGAGATACAGGGGTTTTGAGAAAATTTTCAAAAAACTTATTTTTGCTTAGGAACCGTTTTGAATGTGCTTGAAAATAAAATCTTACTGTATTTTGTTAGTCATATACTTTAGGAAAGATGAGCATTTTTTTTTTTAGTTTCTCCTATTTTTATTCCACTAACTGGCCGTTTTTAGTGTTGCACACATTGCTAAATAATCCTGTACATTATTTGGAATAAATTTTCGCCTTATAAAAAAAAGCAAACTTTCATAAAAATTAATATGCGTCACAAATATGTATATTCGTATAGAATAATGTGCGTATATACATTCCTATAATACTTGAGGTCATCTATTCTTATATTACGAGTATATATATCCAATAATCTGAATAAAACGTCCATATATATTTATGTACGCATTAAATTTTGTAGTTTAGTACATAATGTATGTTTAAAAACTGTTATACCCACTTATGTATTTTATATAATACACAACATAATATAAATTGTGCTACATAAACTTATTGTGCTATGCATACTTACAAATTGTGCTATGGAAGAACACAACAATAATTTTTAATGTTTGTGATTAACAACTAATCTGCTGTAGGCATAAAATTCTTTAAAGTGTTTCTTATATTGTTGTGTTCTATATAACATAATATCAGATAGAATTCTTGATATATATACATATATCTAGAGTCAAACCAATAATAATATAATAATATGATTGAAATATGTGGAGTCTCATTTCTACATCCTTATACACATACAAATTCAATTTTTAAGCGTTACAAGTGATGAAAAATTACAAGAAGTATAAAAATTAAAAATCATTTTATCTTGGTCTCCTTTTTTTCGTTTTTTCTTTATTTTTCTTTCAGTTTATCATTCTGACTATATTATATCAAAGAAAGTAGAAAAAGTAAAACATAAAAGTATAATAATATATATTTTTTACAAGCGACGACATAACGTCGTCATTTTAATATAACGTTCAAATTAAAAAGGATAACGTTAAAATGTAGAAGCAAAATGAAAATATAGGAAAGTCTCTGAAACGAAAAGAAAAATTTGTTGTAAATTATGATAAGGATCAAATGATTTCTTTTACATACTATAACTTTTTCAAGGTCAAATAATAAAATTAGTATACTTTGTACATCAGTGGTTAAAAGTAAATAATTGTGAATTTTTGGGTTTAGTATTATGAGTACAAGTACCTATTTTAATTAAAATGAGTCATTTTCAAACAGTTTCCGCTTAATACGAGTATTTTAAGAAATCCCGAATCCGAAGGATTTGATAATGATTTTATGATAATTCGCATTTAAAATATTTTCCTTAGTTTGAGGAGTCTTATACCTACATAGTTGTGGCAATAAATTTCGTTGGATTTCAAGTGCTATTTGCTCTATTTAAAAATTTCTGAAAGTGCAAAAATTTATTTTTACCCGTTCTCAATCTGAATCAGAAAAAGAAGAGGTATGAAATGATTTTAAGGTAATGAAGAAAAACAACTAATTAATTTTACGATTAATTTAGCATTTAACTAAAAATCCATTTAAATACGGTTTAAAATTGTGAAAAATGAAACTCTTATTAATATTAAATTTTCTCGAATTTTAAAATCAATTATCAATAATAATAGAAATCAAAAATCCATAACGTAAATCATTTGAAAATTTCCAATGGTTTACGTTATGGTTTACACGCACACTTTTAAAATATTTGATATTATTGATTTTTAAAAATTATTTCTAATTGGTATATTAGTTTCGTCAAAATATTTATGATATTTTAAGTTAATATAATTTTCCACCAAAATGTCTTTATAACAAAACTTTTATAATTTGGAAACGCATAATTATATAATCACAACCAAAGCGGTGAACGGAAACGACGGACGATTTCCGTTATTAAACCAAACCAACAGTGGAAGGGCAAAATCAACATGTATATTATTTAGCATATAATGTCACCACACACATGAAAACAGATTTTGGCTATCGCACCGCCGATGGTGAAATTTTCGAAGTTTCGAATTTTTCACTTGATTCTGTTTCCATGTCGGCAGTCCCATTTAAATATGTGTTTTATATATGAATTCTGACATTTCACCGCGAAAAAATCGCTCTTGTTCCATTATCTCTGTTCCATCATATACTATTAATGGAAAATTTTATTAAAAGTACTAAAGGTACTTCTATTTTGATTTTTTTATTTTTAGTAATATAAAAAATTTTATAAAATTTAAAGTTCTAATGTTAAACTATAGGTATAATTTATACGTGAATTGATAGTTCAATTTGTCATTTTATAAAGAAATTTTCCAAGCAAGTTACAAGTCCATTATAAGAGCAATACTGTCATAGAAAAATGTACTTATGTCTCAATAACTTTTACAAATGTGTACTATTTTAATACATTTCACTTTAAAAATCATCCCTGTTATCTAAATACCATATAATATGTAAATGAGTACATAAAATTTTTTAGATACATTCAAGTACATAGGTATATAATAATAATGTTAAAAGGTTTTACTTTAATTTCATATTATCTAAATATATATAAAGTGGTTTCTTTTTTATTAATAAATTTCTTTAAGATTAAATGTATCTTATAAGATTATACACCCATAATATTAAACTCATTATAAAAGTATGGAAGCACTAAGAAAAAATGATATCAAATAGTATGAAACTATATAAAAAAAATTAAAGTTATACATTATGTATATATTATATAAATGTGTTTATATATACATATTTCAATATGTATATAATATATAAGAAAAAATTATTCAGGGAGCAAACTCATTTGACCTAAATTTTATAAAAAGCAAAAA